TAGCTGCGGTCCAAGAGACGAAGGTGCACAGCAATTCAACTTTGTTGAATTGCGCCGGGTACAACGTGCACCGTCGAGATCGCGAGCGAGATAATGGTGGTGGCTTAGCGTTCATCACGCACCACACCGTGCAGTATCGTCTTATCGAAGCAGACATCGACCGCAGGGATACCACCCTAGAATGGCAGGGCATCGCTATCCGGTCAGGCGATGTTGACCTCGAAATATTTAACATATACATACCCCCTGTCACCCGGCAGGATATCACCCTGATATAGGTGCGCTCCTCAGAGGTGAAAACCGTATGGTAGTATTTGACTTTAATGCGCACCACGATCTTTGGCACTCAAGCCTGTCAAACGATCGTAGGGGAACAGACTTGGCTGAGTAGATAGACGATTCGACATTCTGCACAATGAACGACGACGCACCCACCAGGATTATGGGTAACTGCAGTAGCTCGCCAGACATCACCATAGTCAGCGCTGGTCTGATAAACAGCATAACATGGCGACCATAGGCATCTCGATAGATAAACCAACCGACTTTGCCTCCGCCAATCACCGGACTTATATCAACTTTTCTAAAGATGATTGGAAAGGTTACGCGGAGTTTACCGAAAACACCTTCACAGCGCTCCCCACACCAACCGACGTCCATCTCGGTGAACGTAAGTTCCGCAGGGCTGTCACTGCTGCTGCAGCTGGCTTCATACCGGCAGGATGTATAACGGACCCACGTCCAAACTTCCCTGCCGAAGCGGCTCTCAACGCGGAGATTCGGCAACTAGTAAACGTACATAAGCGGAAGAAGTGGGAGGAGCATCTGAAGACCTGTAACTTCACCTCTGGTGTGAGCAAGTTTTGGTCAACCGTGAGGTCGCTGTCCAATCCGACGAAGCACGACGACAGAGTCGAAATTTCCTTCGGCGACCATGCTTCGTCGGACCCGGAGCGATGCGCGAGCTATCTTAGCCGGCAGTTCATACTGCATCCTCCGGTGGACAAAGCCAAGCCAAGTCGAGTGACCAGAAGGCTGCACAAACTGCCAACAACCTGTGCCCCTCTTGCTTTCACTTGCGGTGAAGTTCAGGTGGCCATCGGGAAGGCGAAAGCCTCCTAAGCCATGGGTCCCGACGGAATATGCATGCTGATGGCCACTCTCATCATCCCAGACATCTGGAAGGTGGGGAGAGTGGTCCCACTCTCCAAACCGGGGAAACCTGCCAACAAAGGAGATTCTTATCGTCCGATAACACTCCTTTCCCCGGTAGCGGAGTCACTCGAGGCCTTGCTACTCCCATACTTCACAAACGACTTGACCCCAGCGAAGCATCAGCATGGTTTCCGAAAAGTGCACAGCACAACAACAGCACTTAACGCCATAAACACTCAGATAACTCGTGGCCTTAACCGAAACCGTCCCTGTGAGAGAACGATTCTAGTAGCGTTGGACTTGTCAAAAGCGTTTAACACCGTCTGCCATCCTACGCTACTAGAAGATATAGAGGCCTCCTCTCTCCCACGGAGGCTCAAACGGTGGTCGGCAAATTATCTGAGTGGTCGACATTCGTCGGTAATGTTTAGAGACAAAACGAGTAAACAGAGGAAAATAAAACAGGGGGTTGTTGTTGTTGTTGTAGCGGCTACAACAACCCCGCCCAGATCGGTTGGTATCTCAGTCGTTGTCGTCAAGTTCCACTAACGGCAACCCTAGGAAGCGTGCAGCTTCTGTGGGATCTGTCCACAGGGACAAGGCCGTTAGGGTTGTCGGGTTTTCCGGGCATGCGAAGAGATGGTTCGAGTCATGTGGGGTCTCTCCGCATGCCGGACATTCGTTCGGCACATCCTCATTCAACCTACTCAAGTAGGAGTTTAACCTGCTGCAGTAGCCGGAGCGAAGTTGAGCGAGTGTAGTGCGTGTCTCCCGAGGCAGATGAAGCTCTGTCTCGTCTATGTCCGGGGGTGGTATGCCTAGAACGGCATTCACAGGTCTAGAGTCTACATAACTCGAGACTGAGTCCCTGTGAATGCCGTTCAGGGCCTGTCTGTACGCTGTCGGGTCCAGAGGTTGCTTAAAACAGGGGGTTCCACAGGGTGGTGTCCTTTCCCCGCTACTGTTTAACTTTTACATTTCAAAGCTCCCTCAACCACCAGAGGGAGTCTCGATTGTCTCTTACGCCGACGATTGCTCGATCATGGCGACTGGGAATGGAATTGATGACCTGTGTTCGAAAGTAAACGGGTATCTCTCCGAACTTTCTCGCTTCTTCACTGGAAAGTATCTAGCCCTCTCCCCAACGTAATCCTCTGCGACCCTGTTCACAACCTGGACGAAGGAGGTCAGGCTACCGCTAGGAATTCACGTCGATGACACACCAATTCCGACGGTGAATAATCCTAAAATTCTCGGAGTAACATTCGACAGCCTGCTCTCCTTCTCTGCGCACGCAACCGCTATTGTCAATAAAGTACAGAGCCCCAACAAAGTCCTCAAGTCGCTAGCCGGCAGTACTTGGGGCAAAGACAAAGAAACGGTGCTGGCAACATACAAGGCAATAGGCCAGCCGGTTTTGAACTACGCAGCGCCAGTGTGGTCGCCGGGGACTAGTAGGACGCAGTGGACGAAGCTACAGACTGCACAGAACACCGCACTCAGGTCAGCGACAGGATGCCCCCTGATGTCGCCCGAACACCATCTTCACGGCGAGGCGCAAATGCTCCCCGTAAAGGAGCACAACATCATGCTCTGCAAGCAGTTCCTGGTCGGGAGCCACAGAAGTGGCCACCCTAACAGACAGCTGCTCGCAGAGGAGCCCTCGCCTAGGCACGTTAGGAGCCATCTATATGAACTGACGGACGAAGTCCAGAGGTTCATCAAGCAACCTCTGGACCCGACAGCTTACCGACTGGCCCTGAACGGCATTCACAGGGAGTCAGTCTCGAGTTATGTAGACTCTAGACCTGTGAATGCCGTTCTAGGCATACCGCCCCCGGACACAGACGAGACGGAGCTTCATCTGCCTCGGGAGACGCGAACGACACTAGCACAACTTCGCTCCGGCTACTGCAGCAGGTTAAACTCCTACCTGAGTAGATTGAATGAGGATGTGCCAAATGAGTGTCCCGCATGCGGAGAACCCACAAGACTCGAAACATCTCTTCGCATGCCCGGAAAACCAGACAACCCTAACGGCCTTGTCCCTGTGGACCAACCCCGCAGAAACTGCACGCTTCCTAGGGCTGCCGTTAGTGGAACTTGACGACAACGACTGAGATACCAACCGACCTGGGCGGGATTGTTGTAGCCGCTACAACAACAACAACAACCTCCGTGTGCATGTGCCAAAAATCGGCCAAAATGGGGTTGATTTCTAAGAGTTCAACTGAACTAATAAATTGCTCGAAATTAAATAATATTTCACTTGTTTTATGTGTACACATAGAATTTTTTGGTACTATATTACATCCTTTCATCATGACAATCTATAATTTTTATGCAAAACATCTTGAAATGTTCAGTGGAGTCTGAGCACAGGGCCCCCTTGAAAACTCCGGGCCCGGCGGAAAAACATTTCTGGAGATTTTTCAAATCTGTTAAAATGCAAAACAAAAATGTATCTCTAAATTAGTGGATATTGTTTTATTGGCATGTAATTCAACTAAAGCATCAAGCAAAAATCAAAGTGTAAGATTAATTTTATTGTGTGTTGAAAATATTATCTACAAAGCAAATCATCATCATAAGGGTTGTAAATGTTTTTTCCGGCAGATGTATTTGGTAATCACAATACTAAAAGGAACGACAATTGGGCAGAGGTGAAAGCAATTAATGGTAATAAAACGCCTCTTGAGTTGCGCTGCTTCATATGAGGGCGATTTTAGATAATGGCACAATACAAATAAATTCACATACTACCTTTGAGTTAAGTAATAGAAGAACATGTATTTACACATACATGTATGTATATACAAATGTAAGTCAATCTGAATTTGGCAATTTGTGCTTACCAATCTGACAAATCATCAATTAATGGATAAAGATTACATTATCAAGCACTTAAGACAGTAAGTTCTGTACTGAAAGTATCAAATTAAGGCAGCTTAATGCAGTAACTTCCTCAGTAATTAATTACTAAGGCCGCTTTGACATACTTACTTATATTTAGAAGATAATGAGCAATGCGTGGTTTTGAGATTTGTAAGTTACCAGGATAATTATCAGCTAAGACGAACTAATAACAAAATATGCTATATATGCTATGGTTGGAAGCCAGACTAAAAAACTGGCAAGTAGGTTTACAATATACATAGTTTGCAATTGCATATAATTAGAAGTACCGAGGTAATTTCCCCTACTTTATTAACGGTTGTTTATTAAGTCATAAAACGCTTCAATACCCTCCAAAACCACCGACTGCTCCAAAAACCACCAGACCACAATCCAAAATAACAAAACAAAAATGGTTTATCACGTTAACAAGGAAGCAAGAATTTACATTGGTCACCCAACCGCGTTAAAATAAAACCCCGAAAAGAAAACAAAAACAACCAAACAAGTCAATAAGGATTTGTCTACAGCAGATCTACACTTCCTTTGTGCACGTCAACAACCACCCTCTTATAGGAGGAATTTGGCACCCTCATCAACTCAACTAACTGGCTAGTAGACAGTAGTAGTAGTATGTATATACACACCTTTCCACCCCTTTCATCACTGCAATCCTAATCACAGAATACGTATTTGTATTCATTCATGCATGGGCTGATGGTGAGATGTATTTATCTTTTATGTGTGTGTCTGTTAGTTATGTGGCAAGCGTGCATCAATGCGTACATTTGCACGCGCTATTCTATATTTGTTATTCTATATCTGTTGAATGACAAACGTACATGAATGACAATACATTCCTATTCCTATACATTCCTACATACATATGCATTAGTATAAAGATGTATTCTGATGTAATGCATGCGTATGTAGTTAAGTACTTTACTTACCCCTCTTTGGCTTTGGAAAGGAATCGTGTAAATTAAAAACGACCTTGTCAACATAGGTGCTGATATCTGCTTCTTTAACACCGCGCACATACAACTCCCAATCGTGAGTGAAGCCTTCTGGTGTTTTCTTGCTGCGCAACCTCGCCGTATGACCGATCTCGAATTGCACTTTTACAGCCATCGCTGTGGCCAACACGATAGACGATAACTGCTGTTATTAAATTTTATTGCTGCGGCCCTCACTTGATAAGCAGTGTTATACTGATCAGCGAACAATGTGTTTTGCATGCGGCGCACGCACTCCCTCAATATAGTACATGAACAGTTTCTTTCCTCTACCTTTTCACACACTTTGTTTTGTCCAAATTATACACTACCCACTTGTTATCGTTTCGTTTATCTCTCTTCGTATTCGCCGGACACGAAATTTTTTAATTGGTCTATCAATCTAAAAAAGGAAGAGAACAGTTAAAAAAATGTAATTAGTAAAATACATGAAAAGGTAATGAATTAAAAATGGAGTTGTCGCTGGGACACTACATAATTATGCACTTATGGGCTTACATTACTAACAAAAATACGTATGTTGAAGTGCATCAATTAAGCGAAAAGCAGGTGGAATAGAAAGGGAATTCGTAGGCGCTGAAAGTATTTAAAAAATAATGGAAATCATGGTGGATTATAGGGGCAAACATTTATAAAATAAACAAAGGAAAATTATTATGAATCAAAACCACAAAAATAAAATATGCTATCTACATATAACCTATCAACTTATGTATGTATGTACATATGTAAGTTGATATAAATCAAAATGAAGAAAGCGGCGATGGAAAATGCGCCGACGCATATGTAATGCATTGGTGGTGCATTTCAGTAGCTAAGCGGCGCGTCATTGTGGCACGTAGTCATCCACACTGTGCCATGATGCATACATACTTACATATACATAAAATGTATATAGTTATGTATGTATGTATCCATTCGAAGAGGCGGAAACTTTGCACCAACTAGCCACAGTAATACAAAACGTGTTAACTTTAAGCTCTTGTCGTACTGGGGCATTACCATCAACCCCGTAACTGGTTTAAACGATTGTTTATTTTCTTTAGCATAACACAGGTTTTTATATGTATTTCATTCATTTCATATATGAACATACATGTGAATGAACAATAATATTGAAGCACCTAAATCACCAAAAACAACGCCTGAGCCTATTTATCATGCTACGTCGACGTCGGCATTATGTCTCGCCGCAATAGCGCAGCATGTTGTTTTTTTATACAGCCACAGCGACCAACGCTGTTGGATACCATCGGCACATTTTTGAGTATGATGCAGGTACTTCCTGTTTCATCGCTGCTACCCAACCGCCAATGCACCGCTGCTTGACATCATTATTACATTTTCGGTAAATCTTTCTTCTGCAAGCTCACCTTTTCAATGGACTGCCGCTGCCTCTACCGCTGCTGCTGAGGCTGGCCTCACTTTTTCACTTCGATTTTTCACGTTCGTTTCACACTTTCATCTACATTGAACGAACATGCGTTAATTTTTTATTTAATACTGCTAAAAAAGTATGTATACGATTAGTTTAACAACTTTCAACGAATCTTTTTAACGTCCATTTTTTTATTTGACACAAATTTTCAATGAAACTCAATTTTCAACACTTCGACGACGACCTCTTCCTCACTGCTTTTACTTGCTTCCCTTTTTCTACTATTGTCCTTTCTTCGTGATTCCACTTTATTTTCCTCTATCCAGTTGAAGTTGGCAATGCTACAATGGGTTCTGAGCTTTGCTAAAGAAATTCTTAAGTAGAAAGCACACGATTGAATGGTGAATTTATACAATTTGCACATTTTGGAAGGTATACCACGTTTATACACGTATTATTTATAAAAGAACAATTTGCAAAATGGTAAACTTTTCGCATAAAAACTGAGTAACCTTTTTAGTTGCATATAACTAAGGGTTATTCTCTAGTATAGGGTAACAACCGCTAAAACAGGGCTAATATTAGTAACCATTTAAAAGTTATAAACAAAAAACTTTTGTTAAATTTCGTTGTTTTCTATGAGCAATTACCACGTCAAAAATGCACTAACCGCCCTGTTCCCACACCCTGACAAAACTCAGCGGCTGACTATTGCCTTTACTACTGCGCCTAATACTATGCCACAAATTTATTTTAAGCTGTCGTATGACAATTGTCAGTTTTATTGTTATGACCTACTGGGTAAGTGACAACGGCGAAACAATGTTTATATTGTGTTTTAGGCGC